TTACAGGAAACATTCCTGAAACCTGCCCATACTGTCACCTTTTGTCAGTTTTCTTTATACCAGAATGACAGGGTGTGTGATGGGTGAGTGCATGGAGGGTTGGTGCTGCTGGTTGACCAGTGTGTGCCCACCTTGTCTGTGTCACTCGATACACTCTTGGAGGCCATAGCCATCGATGTTTTCTTGGATCGTACCATCACTGTTTGTTCTCTCTACCTGTCTCCTGATCAATCAGACCTTGATGCTTTTGTTGAACAATTGCCATCTCCCTTTTTAATCCTGGGAGAATTTAATGAACACAATCCCCTCTGGGGTGGTGCTGATGATATTGGTGGGAGGGGTCATTCTGTAGAGCGATACTGGTTCTTTTACTGCCATTGATCTATCTATCTGCTCCCCTTCACTTTTCTTGGAGGGTTGATAGTGACCTATGGGGCAATGATAATTTTCCTACCATTTTGAGGGAGATTGGCTGTGGTCGATGCCACCCTACCTGAGTGCCACTGTGGAAGTTGGACCAGGCCAACTGGCTCTCTTTCACCTCTCTCTCTCAGAACGTTATCCTGCTGTCATTAGTCTTCCATCTATTAATGACTGCATGGAGGCAGTAACTGATTACCTCATTCAAGCAGTTGTTCATTCTATACCTAAAACCTCGAACATTTCCCAGGGTATCCTCGTCCATGTGGTCTCCAGCCTGGCAGCTGGCACAGAAAGCTCAGAAATGGGTCTGGGATACTTTTAGCAGGTATCCCGTTCTTTCCAACTGCACTGCTTTCCAGCAGGCCTGTGCCAATGCTCAACAGGTCAGATATCAAAGCCAAAAGGAATCTTGGATTAAGTTTACAACTAGCATCTCTTCTACCACCAGTTCCAAAGTCATATGGGACAAAATTCAGAAAGTCAGTGGAAGGTATTCTTCCCATCCCCTTTCCATCTTACTCTCCAATGGCTAGGAAGTTGCTGATGTACAGAACATTGCCAATACATTTGGTGAGAGCTTTTCTAGTGTGTCTAGCACTTCTGTTTCTCCTGCTGCCTTCTTGGCTGTCAAGTCTCCGGCAGAGTGATTGTCTCTTTCCTTTCGAGCCAATCATCTCTATGACTATAATTGCCCCCTTACACTGGTCCCCTTACACTCAAACTTGCTCTTCATCGGTCTGTAAGTACATTGGTCGGACCTGAAGATGTTCACTATGAGATGCTATGCCATTTCTCTCCTGCCTCTCATGCTATTCTTCTGATTGTTTTTAACTGGATCTGGCAGGAGAATGTTTTTCCTGATGCTTGGCGCAGGCTGTTGTCCTCCCTTTCTCTAAGCCTGGGAAGGATCCCAAGATTGTCATCCAATTCCTTTGATTAGCTGTCTCTGTAAGGTCTTAGAGAGGATTATTGATGCTCATCTTGTTTGTTTCCTTGAATCAAATGACCTCCTCTCGCCCATCCAGTATGGGTTCTGTTGATAGCGCTTCACCATGGACTACCTGATTTGACTTGAGACCTCGATCAGAGAAGCCTTTCTCAAGAGGGAACATCTTGTTCCTGTTTTCTTTGATCTTGAGAAGGCTTACGACACTACGTGGAGGTATGGCATTTTGTGGGACCTCCACTCATATGGGTTGCATGGCCATCTACCCATTTTTACTCAACAGGCAATTCTGAGTCCTTGTGGATTCAACACTTTTCCATTCTTTCACACAGGAACTTTGAGTCCCTCATGGCTGCATCATGAGTGACACATTTTTCAGTATCAAGATCAATGCTATAACTATGCAACTTCCTCCTACTGTTGCTAATGGACTCTATGTCAACAACTTCCACATCTCATGTAGGTCATCGAACATGAGGTTTATTGAGCGGCAGCTTCAGACTGCCCTCAATCGCTTGTTGAAGTGGACCACAGCAAAAAGTTTTACTTTTTCTTTTTCCAAAACCATCTGCATGTATTTTTACCACCAACTGGGTCTACACCCCAATCCTGAGCTCTATCCCGGTGATGTTGTTCTTCCCATGGTCCATGAGGCAAAGTTCTTGGAGCTTATCTTTGACCGTAAGCTTACTTTTATTCCTCACATAAAGCAGCTACGTGTCAAGTGTACAGGGGCACTGAAAATTTTCTGTGCCCTCTCTTCCACCTCTTGGGGAGCAGCTCGATGTTCTATGCTCAAGATCTATCATGCCCTTATTCAATCCAAACTGTACTATGGGTCCATGGTTCTGCCAGGACCTCAACCTTGATGATCCTGGACCCCATTCACCATCTGTGGATTTGGCTCTGCATGGGGGGCATACTGCACTTCTCTAGTACAGAGTTTGTGCACTGAGTCCCATGAAAATTCTCTTGAGTTCTGCCATTTGCAACTTTCTCTACAGTATGCTACCAAGCTTTAATCCTTACCACAGCGTCCCACCTATGATTGTGTCTTTCTTCCTCAGTGGGCTGTGCTCTTTCAGAACAGGCGGTCTGCAATTCTTACTTTTGTCTTTCATATCCAGTCACAATTGGCTGAATTGGGTATGGCATTGGATGATGTTGCTGTCCCCAATGATCAACCCATTCCACCATGGATTACTATCATCTCCAAATGTGACCTTTCCTTGAATCATTTGAGGAAGGGGGAAATTCCCGATTGCAAGTACTGTCTTCTCTTTGCTGAACATGGTTTGAAATCAGGTGACTCTGTGGGCTCTGCCATGGTTTTTTGTGGCTTAGTGGTTGCTCACAAGATCCTCTCTAAAGTTTCTGTGTTCACTGCTGAGTTGTATGCCATTTCTCTTGCCCTGGATCATGTAGAAGCTATGCAGTACGGCAATTGTAATATTTACACTGACTCTCTTAGCTCTCTACTGGCCCTGGAATCACTTAACTTTAGTTATCACCCTGTTCATATCAATATTCAACAATAACTGACCCATTTTTCTGTATCTTCTGTTTCCTTCCAGTTTTTTTTATACCTGGCTACATCGGTATTCGCGGGAATGAGCTCACTGACACTGCAGCTAAGTCTGTCTGCTCCAGTGGCATCACAGCCATGCCTGTCTTGTATATGGACTACGATCCTGTATTCAAGGTGCGGTTTCACTTCAGTTGGCAGTTGACTTGGGATGAGCAATGTCATAACAAGCTTTTCCAGATCAAACCTTCTGTTGTTCTTTGGCTGTCTTGTTTCCATAATGATCAGAAAGAGGAACTTTTCCTGGCTAGGCTATGCAGTGGTCACAGTTTTTAACTCATCGTTTTCTTTTATCTGATACTGACCCACCAATATGTAGCCTTTGTGAAACTCAAGTCACAATAGCCCACATTTTATTGTCGTGCTATCATTGCGACTGTGAGAGTTGGCACCATTTTAGACATATACTTTCTACGGGTTTACCCCTGACATTGGACAGTGTTTTTAGCTTTCTGCGGGTTTTTGGCCTTTTTAATTCTATTTAAATGTGTTTACTTGATTTTCAAACTTTGTTTAGTTTTTAACTTGATTTCTTTTTACATTTTATAATATTTTATCTTTGAAATTTTTACCAGTTGTTTGGCGCAGATAGCCCCATTGCTATCAACCAACCAACCTATAAAAAGTACAAGTATTCAGAATTGGCATAGATATCTCCCTACATAATTTCAATACAAAAATACAAGATACATACAAAAATGAAGTAAACATTGCATTTTATGATTTATTAAAGTCTTAAAAGTCTAGTTCTCAGTTGCTCTTACCTTCACTCCAGTACTACTATATAATATTTACAAGAGCTTGATTGTAGATATCTGGCCATCTGATAGGGATGCTTCTTCTTACACTTCATTCATCATGAACTTTTACTCCAACTTTCATACCCTGCACCTATGAGTAAACTGCTGATGTATGCATCTCAATCATGAACCGGATATTGGGAATGTTTCACTTGTTCCTGTGTAACTACTTGCTGTTAAGCTGTATTGTGCATTTCATAGTATTACAATTAGTGACTTGATTGGTTTTCTGTTATCAAAATGTTTTGTATATATGTCCCTTAAAATGAGCGAGGAGGGTTATTTATTACAAAATAAGATTAGCATATTAACATTATTATTATTATTATTGTATTTGTTTTTAATTAAACTGTGATTTGTGTTGTATTTACAACAAAAAGTACCTTAGACAATTATTGTTTTTGTTATTTATAAAGATTCAATGAAATATGAATGTCTTACTTCTTTGAATGTTGAGTTACACTAAATGTTGCTTTCAAAATTCTTTAATTCCTAAAATAATCTACACAACAAAGAAGTTAATGAGCTTCCACTAGATACATTAATTAAAATATGATGGCAACATTGAAAAACTTTCATACTTGTACTTCCTATTTTGTAGTATGAGAACATATATCACTTGTGTGTTACTAAGTTTACTATAAAGACTGTCAATTTCCATACTTATTATATTACCACCCTTTATGTTACAATTCATTTACACATTTTGCTGTTAATTAAACATGTTACGTGTGCCGTCCTTGTAGCATTGTGGTTGAGGTGTGTGTTTATAATTCACAAGCTACTTCATTAAAGTATTTTTGATAGTAAGTGTTCATGATATTTTTTAAAATAGTCCTTTCCTTTCTAGTTCACACATAGCAGCACTGATAAAGTGTAGATCTCAACACTAGAAATAAAACAGTTTGATTAGACTTTTCAAATGGATACATGTCTGTTATGTTAAACCATCTTTAAAAGATATTTCTAGTTCCTTGTGATGGCTGTCTATGAGTGTTCTCAGGATTTTTGAATTGCTCATGTTTTTATGTGTTTTCTCTATATTTTATTTCTTTGTTGTGTCACAAATAATTGTTTTTGCCCTGAAAGAACATAAGTAAAGGGTTACAGTTTAAATGACTTTGTTATATGTGTAGTGATTTAAGCTACTTATGATGATAGGTGAGAAAACAAAATGAATTTGTAAGTTATTTCTGCATGCTTGGTGTTTTGTGATATTAATTCAAAGTGTTTCATTCTTCCATAGACAATGAAGTAAAGTTTTCAACCAATGAGCTCCATGCTGGGAATTATCATTTAGTAGGAGTTGATATGAGGCAGCTTTCAAATCTACAGGGGAAATTACTTCAAGAAAGTGGTTTGAATCCTTCTATCCCAACTATTGTGCTATCAGAATGTGTGTTGGTATATGTCGATGTAGCTTCTTCTGCAGCATTACTTCGATGGATTGCAGAAACATTTCAAGTTACAGTATTCATAAATTATGAACAGGTATACTTGCTACCAGTTTTTCTTGTATAGCTATTTTAGGTAAATTGGTGGTGTATGTGAATATATATTCAGTAACTGTGTAATCTTTTACATATGTATATACATATATCATACAGTTAGACAGTGAAATACATATTAAACCCTCTGTCACTAGCCCTTCTGAATAATAAGCAAGTCAATTTAAGAAAATTATACTTAACAAAAATACATGATGTTAAAGAATAATCCTTACCATCCTAATTTTAATATGTTGTGGCATTAATAAAATTACCCTTCTCCATTTAATCCAGTTTACATCTTAACAGTTGTTCTCAAGGAATTTGTTAATCAGAGAATGCACTAGCACTCTCTATGTAGGAATGGCCCGGATGCCTGTATTAAAGCAATACAAAAGTTATTTGGGTTTTCTTCTCTTTAGGTCATCATAAGCTAGGTATGAAGTACTTTCTGGCATAGTCACTGAATATCCGGTGTATATGATATACACTTTCCAACTATCCAGAGCTTCACAAAGTCAAAAACCAGCGAATATCCAAAACTGAGAATTCTTATTTTCATTCATCATCATCTTTCTTCAACAGGCCTAGCATCTACCTAGTTCTAGCAGTAACACTAATTTTATCATAATTTGATAGAGCATAACAGTCTTCACAATCTTTGACTACCTGTTTCATTATTATTCTATGCAAAATTTACAAAGCTTTAGAATGCACTCTATAACCTAATAACCCACCTACACCAGCTTCTAAAAAAACATATACAAACAAGTATTAGGAAAAAATTTATTGCTAAAAAATTTGCTATGTAGGTCTGGATACTGAACTTGAAAATAGGAACCAAACAAGATAGAGATAAAAGTGGACATATCACTTGATTCTGCTAATGATCACATAGCAGACTAAGACTTCACTTTACATTATGAATAAAATCCTTACGTTACTGGCTTCCTCACTGGCAAAACAAATAGAACCAGAGTAAAATGTTACTCGTTGTAAAATAGTCATAAAAGTAGTATTCTATTTCTTTTGACACCCATGTCATTTGATTCCTCCCCTTCCTTATTAACTACAACAACTTGTTCTATGTTTTTGATTTTCCCACCTTTTCCTTGATTTGGGGTCCATGCCAAGCATTTTGCAGATCAATTACGTGCAGGGTTAGTATGCTGTGCCTCCACTGTACTGCAGAGGCTCATGCACTTTGTTCAGTGTCATTATTATTCATAACAGTAACATAACAGTGTATTATTCATAACAGTAACAGACTCATGAACATGGGTGGTTTTTAAGTTTATTAAGTTCCATACTTTCGTTATAGTATTAACTGTATTATATCACATAATCTGTAGACATTGACTACCAGATGTAACATAAAACATTATTCAACTACACCAATGTCAGAAATATTAATCAATACGAAATCTTAATGAATGGTTTCTTTCTCAATTGAATTTTTACTGTAATTTTATAAATGCTGTGAATGAAAGCTGCCATAACATGGGATTTGCAATCAGTACTATACATGTTTTCTACACAGGATATAACTTCCTTCTGTATGCTAATTGTTCTTGGTAATTATTTCCTTTTTTATTTAGAACATGGAGGGATAAGGGTTTCTAGCAAACTTAAAAAGATGTTCTGTTAAATAAATTATCAAAATTTGAAATGTTTGCTCAGAAAAAAAGGGTTGAAACATTGTTTATTAATTATTAATAAATACATTTTATTGTACATTATGAGTAGCTCTTCAAAGCTGAAGAATTACTTTCTGTTGGTACACATTAGCTCGACTTTTATATTCCTGAACATAAAGGTATATTCCTGTAGAAACTTGAAAACCTGGGAATTTTGCAGTTTGCATTTTTTTTTAAGAAATGCTTCATACTTTCTTGATATACAATGTTCGAGATCTGTAAACTGTATTTTACTAGTGTGAAGAAATGCAACGTGAAAACGAGAACATTAATCCCTTCTATCAAAATGTTAACTTGTTTCCCTAGAGAACTCAAAATTCTGTTTAATTTTAAAAAGTTTAAGAGTGTATTTATTTGGGAAGAAATTTAACCTGTAAGTGCATAATTATTTGTACCTTTGTCTGAAACTACTAATCTTACAGGTCAACTTATTTTATGCAATTTAAGGAATACCATAAGACATTTCCTGGATGATAACATGATGGGTTTGTACTCAGTTATTATAAAGTTATCTTTAAGTCTAAGCAGATATTTTGCAAAATGGATATCCTGCTGGAACATTACATGTTGGAGATAACATTTTGAAACACATCTGAAGATTCACAAGTATATCGAAATGTCATATCCAACAAAGGAACTTTACAACAGATTGTTAATTAGTTAGTTGTATTGGTTCAAACAGTGTCAACTTTGTTAAGATAATTAAAATTAAAAAAAAAGAAAAATTAAACTGAAATGTTAAGCATAAAATTGAAAGTTACCAAAGATTTTATACTTATTAAGTAACTAATTGGATGAAAATTATAACGTAAAAAAATTAGCATTTTTTTATTATTATTTCATGAAATTACTGTGTCTATAGAATAAAATTTTGAAAGTATATATATCATCTGTGTTCCTTTTTTATAGGTTAATATGAAGGATAAGTTTGGACAAGTTATGATTGAAAACTTGAAGAAAAGAGGTTGTGATTTAGCTGGAGTGAGTGTTTGTACTAATCTTCAAGCTCAAGAATGCAGGTACATATTTTTCTGTAAGCATTTTTTTTTATTGCTTTGGAGATACTGGACATGTTGAGTCTGCACTTCTTTATATTGGGATTTTTTTTTCTATCAAATTATGAGTTCCAGTATTGGAGTTTATACAAATCATTAATTTTATCAGAGTATATACTGTGTTAAACCCTATGACTACGTATAGAACTTTTCTTTTTAGCCACACTTGGAGACTTACATGTCCATGAACTTCCATATATAATTATTTATAAACGTTTTCTTCTATAAGATATCTATTTTTTTCTGGTTATGGTTACACATTTGAGGAGTGTTTAGCACCAGCCAGTGCACAGGCTCTCCTTCCTCCAATTATGGAGTCCTGTCACAGCATGCTGTTCAGTATATATTCCAGATAGCTTGGTGGCATCCATAATATTTTGAACCACCAACCATAGGAAAGTAACTGATTGGTTCTAACCTCCTTCTAATTTTTTCAATGTATTTAAAAAACACCCAAGAATTTGAGTGCTATCAAATAGTAGACTATTGTTCTTCGGGAGAATAAAGGGTGATAATTAGTAAGTGTAATGTAATGTATAAGTACAGATGTGATCAGTGAGTGGAATGTAATGTATAAATCACATCTGTACACATTCCACTCACTAATGTATAAGTACAGATGTGATTAGTGAGTGGAATATAATACATAGGTACAGATGTGATTAGTGAGTACAATGTAGAATATAAGTACAGATGTGATTAGTGAGTGGAATATAATACATAGGTACAGATGTGATTAGTGAGTACAATGTAGAATATAAGTACAGATGTGATTAGTGAGTACAATGTAAAATATAAGTACAGATGTGATTAGTGAGTGCAATGTAATACATAGGTACAGATGTCACTGTGATGTGAGCTGGATGTTCCAGATAAGTTTACCTTGAAGACTAGCCAATCATAACTGGAGAAGTTGATGTCAGATTTAGGTTGTAGAAAAGAAATGTGTACATTACATGAAAGACGTAAGCATTATGATAGTTAAGAAATGTTAAAAGAGTGTTCTATACACTGATTTGTCCCAAAAACCACAGTACTTACATTTTTAAAGCTGTTGTCCTCCACACACCAAGTGCAATATTACATTCAATCAAGCACTTAGATTGAAGAAAATCTGCTCTGACTGTAAGAACTATAACTGTTGCATTTATTTGTTTGACTGAAAGATACTAAGAAGAATATTATTAAACTAAATTCTGAGAGATCAGTCATCCCCACTGTCTAGTGACCATGTTCTACAATACAATTCCGCGATACATTTTAGCTACATGTGTGCCTTCAAAGATTTCATCATTTAAACATCTTTTTACATATAAATGTTGTAAGTATAAGCGGATGGAAAAGTTGTTTGAGTCAGATATATCACAGAAAGAGAAAATAGATGAAACTGTATTTTTTGTTAATACACTTTGCTAAGATTTTTTGTGTATTTATTTTACATAATGTTCTAACTGGGGTAGATCAGATGTGTGGGACATGTAATCTAAATCCTTTAGAAAAAAAAACAATAATTATATCTTGCTCAGAGCAGTAACAACATGTAATAAATATGTGTATGTATGTCACCACTCTAAGAAAACCTCAGAATTTTATGTTAACATTAGTTTATGGTGAATATACGTACAATATAAAACTCAAAATCCTTATAAAGACATTGTAGTTGTTCTTAATATAGTTGGTTTATCAGATTTTATGTTTATGCTCAGATGAAAATCCAAAGAAAACATTTATCACAGTCAGAAATCTAGATAAAACTTGTTATTCTGTAGGATGCAAATCAAATCTTATTTATATAATAAGTTTCAGAAGTTTACTATTTAAAATAATCATGTTGCACTAAGTTTGCATAAATAATACTTGAAGGGTTGTCTGGCTGTTAATGGTGAATTGTTTAAGTATAAATGTAATTTGTTTTGTTATTCTTCAATCCACTAGATGACATACTGACACTAGTAAAAGTTTTAAACACATCACCAGTACTAGATTTGGTACTGAGTTGGGTAGACTGAAATGTCTAACACTTATATTTTCAGTGTTGATTTAAACAACAAGTTATCTTTGAAGATCTTTGAGCTTCTTTTCATATGATATCTAGGCTTCACCTGGTTGTCTCTGGCATCTAATGAACCCTATAAATCCTGCATATCAGTAGGTTAATTTGGAAGTTCAGTGGATATATATTTGGAGTGTATGCATTATTGGATAAATCCAAGAAGATCAATTTATTTCACATATTATTTTTAGTGTATACTGTTTTCAGTTTGAGTAAACCCACAGTAAAAAAATTTAAACGTACTAACTGTTAAACTACATTCTACAGATTTATAGATCTAGGCTGGGAAACGTCAAAAGCATGGGACATGAATGAAGTGTACCACAGTCTTCCTCGAGAAGAGATAACAAGGTGACTTTTGTAGTTTGGATTCCTCTTAATTTTGCATATATATATAATTCTGTGGATGTAATATTGTTAAGACTGTTTACAGTGTTAAAATAAAATTAGGTGATACTTTACTATTAACTTCCTGGAAGAGAAATACTTCAAAGAATATCACAGAATGATATTCAGTTGTCATATCTTTTTTCATCACTGTTTAATGTTCATACATTTTATCAATTATTTTATTTTAAGTTATATCCTTAGACTTATAGTGAGTTTTAATGTTTTTAACTGTCTTCTTATGATAATGTGTATTTGTGTAAGTTCAAATATAGTGCATTTGAGTTATACTGATTATTTGTAACTACTATAAGCATTTTCTCATTTCAAATATAATTTCTTTCTTACTTTGAAATATGTGGTTTCTAATCACAGATAACAATACATCAATAATCCTTGTTTGCTGGAATCTTAGAATGAGATGCTAGATAAAGAAAGTTTGGAAACAAAAAATATGGTACTTACATATAGGTTGTGTATGTGTGAGCTTATGAAAAAAATCTTCATAAAATTAACACATACAGTGATCTTTTGTTTCTTTAACACATTACCAATATTACATTTGGGTTTGAGTAGGGTAAACAGAAATGTCTGTCAAATTGATATTACTATTATCACTTTAAATAACCAGGTATCTTTGGAGATTGTTGGGTTTCTTTTCAAATGACATCTATACTTACTAAGGATGACTGAAATTTTTTTCATCTTACTTGAGATTCTGTAAAAGGCATCAAAATTAGAATTTGTATGCACTTACAAAGTACATTAAAACATCTAAACCTTTAATGGGAGGAAATTCTCCATTCTGCTTTTTGTGTATCCTTTACATTCAGTATTGACAAAGATACTGAAGATTTTATTTTTATATAACACAAGCTGAAATACCCATCAACTGATGGGGAATGTTTAAACTTAATTAAAACAATGTAAGTTTAACAGCAATCATATATTTCAAAGTAATAACTTGAACATAAACTTTTATCTTAAAATTATTATAACAAAGCTTCTTCATAAACAACATTTGTAGTTTGCTTTCCATCTTCCAACAAATAAATATTTTGAGGTGATTGCACCCTTGAACACCCTACATCTCATTGACCATGATAAATGCATGGTTGTTTGAGAAACAATCCAGCAACTTTCATACTTTGACCTTGAATTCCTTTAGAATATTCAACATTGTTTAAAGAGTCAACCTGCCAAGATTGTTTGACATTGACTCAATAGGCTGGGAGTAATTAACCAACAGACTTTATAAAATAGAAATAGGGTTAAGTTCAATTTTGACCCTCTTAGGACATTCCCCATAGTTCATAGTGTTTACATACAAATTTTGGTTGAGATTTGCCCAATAGGCTCGGAGAAACTAGGGTGCAAACAAATGCACATTTCGCTTATCCAATTGTTACCTTCACACAAATTACTTGTTTGCTAGTTTATTTATACATTCATAGCTAAACTTTGAAAACCTATGAGACATTTTTTTTATAATCTACATAATTTTATATTAGCTCATTGTTTTTACAAAACATCCATTTCAAAAATACCTATTAAGTTGATGATAACCAAAATTAAACAAAAGCATAGTCAAGAGCATAGTTACAGGAATAGCAATACCTATGGAAAGATTTTGACAAAGACATTTAAAGATTGATTTGTACATGTACATACAGTACTTCATTATGCATGCTTTTACACTAAGAAAATTTACATTAACCACAAACTGAATCCATGGTATTCCTGTCGGTTTTTCCATTGAGTGGGTATCAAAAACTTGTTTTTAGCATTATAAGCCTTCAGACTCACTGCTAAGTCACTGGTAGTGACTTTTATAGATTAAATTGTATTAAAACTATTAAAATGAAACAAAAACATCTTAAAAATGCTGTAAGTGAAAAATAGTAGTGATATGAAGAAAAATCTAAAACATTCTAAAATTTAGTTAAATTTTTAAAATAAAGACTGTTTCATCATACTTCCATATCTGTTATTACTTTCTGTTGTGTAGCTTTGCACTTAACAACAAACAATCTGAAAAAGTCACTTTTTATAATTTCCCAAAACACATTTATTTAAATTTTCTTTTGCCCCAAAATGAACTTCTTTTCCCATTTTTATTTCGAGTACTTTTATACAGGTTTCTGAATTTGAAGATTTTATTCATTTTTCAATATTTGTAACTTTACACATGCACATTATTTTTACATTTTAGAATTGAAAGACTAGAATTTTTGGATGAAACTGAGCTATTAGAGCAGCTTTTACAGCATTACTGTATCACAGTTGCAACCAAAGGAGTCAAGGAAGAGGAACTAAAAGTTCTAGGCTTCACTTAGAACTTTGAATTGAATAAATACATCTTGAATGTATAAACGAAAACCTGAAGCATGAAATAACTGACATTGTATGTTGCTATTAATATAAACCTGTTGTTAAGCATAATTATTTAAACTAATTATATGTATATAAATTGGTAAAGCCAACAGATAATGGTACTGAAGATACACAAAGTTACTAAGAAAGAACTTAATGCAGACATAAACAAAGGTCTCTAAATAACTTTCTGTTTGTTCTTCAAGTACCACAACATTCATCTGCTTTAAAAAGCTTGTTGATATATGAGTTATAGAGGAAACATTTAATGGTAATCCTCCCATAACCATTGGCACAAATTTGTTTCTTGATGTTTTTTTTTAATTTCACAACGTTTCACCACTTTAACATAATATTATCAGGAGATTTATGTGATGCTGGTTTAACTTGATGAAGTATCATGGAATTAAAAACTATTTCTCTGTAAATTCATAAAAATAGCATTGAATTTGAGTTATGTTTTAACATTGAAATGCTTTGTTTAACAAAATTTGGGATCTGAGCTTTGTATGAAACATTAACTTTATACAACAAAATAGATCTATTACATTTATGACTCTAATTTTGAAATACTATCTTATTCCCTAGCTGGAAACAAAACATTATAATCTCTAATTTCATAAATGCAGAACATGTGAATTTCCTGGAAGTTCTTTTTTGTCTTTTTTTCATTTACAAATTCATTGCATTATTTCTGGTGAGTTTTGAGGTAAAAAGTTTTAATCTTTTACTTAAGTGTGCAGCACCATCAGAATTTTGATGTAGATGTGTCATTCATCTTGTGTGTACTCAATTATAATATAAGAAAAAAAATATTTTGACATTATCAGTTTGAAGTGTGCGGTTGTTCTTGATATTAGATTAAAATTAATATAATAAGATTCTACTTTCAACACTCTGAAAAGGTTATAATGAAACAAAAACGTTTTTCTCTTTTCACTGTTTCATTTCATACATGAAGGAATAGTATATCTGAAGGAATATATATTGCTGTAAAATGATTATACAAATAAAAAGCGAAACATTCTAAACATATTTGTTGATCCTGTAATTCTTATATCCTTATTCTTTTAAGGTCTTCTTTAGCCCAGCTTAATAAATGTGTGACATTACTGATAAAAAAACATGTCATTTTAGGCCTAGGAAAAATGTCAAAAATTATATTTTCAGAAAAAAATTGTGGAAATTGTAAGGTTGTCTTAAGCATTTTGGAAAGTGCACACTTGTTCTCAGTATGTGCCAAATCAATCTGTTTAGCATGATTTTTTATGTACATGTGATTTTATTATTCCAGATGTGTGTTTAATACTTAATTTCAGATCTTTTCAGTGATGTACCATTTTTTGCAGTGGATCAGCTGATGAACAGAGGGTTTAATAATTTGTTTTACAAGGAAATTTAAATGCATAATAAGTCTTTTATTGGCAAATATGAAAAATAATTTTTATGTTTATTTAATATTTTTTTCCATTGTTATTAAATCACATGGGTAAACAAAGTGTCATCAATGCATGAAAATACAAAGTAATAGTACTTGGTGATGAAAAACCCATTGAAAAGAAATTGCTAATTGCTCAGCACTGAACTACACTGCAAAATAGTAAATTTTTCAACTTACATACAGTGTGTTTTGTTATTTGGATTATGGTTTTTGTGAAAACATTAGTATATACTGTACCAGTGATTAGAACATATACTTGTGTTAACACATGTCATCCAAATTTTATTAGAAATATTAAGAAAATGTCTTTACTCAAGACAACACTTCTGACCCTTGTTACTTAAAATATAAAAGTTGTCAGCAAAGCTTGAAGTAAAACAAAGTTAAATTGAGGTTTTATTGTGTAAGTTTTTAAATTATTTTTTTATATTTTATTTCCATATGCTAAAAAATACTGTGTATGTTTAGAATATTACTCTTTTTTTTTAAATATTCAATAATCTAATATTTGAAATTTCTTCTAAGACTTAGAAAGCTTTACACTCTTTACAAAAATTCAGGTATAATAGTGACCTTCAGACCTTAAAAGAATTATTACTATTCTTATCCTAGATGTTAGCTTTAAAAATTATTAACTGATGAATCTCAGTATAATCACATGTGTAATTAAGGGTACAGAACAAGACAAACTCCAGGTATTGACTAACTGACTTTATTGTGGTTACTTTTATCAAGTTTTCAAAATGTTGATGTTTTATTCAATATAATTATAGAGTTTGACTTATTGGATTATCAGGTTCAACTATTATTCAAACATTTCTGTAATCCTGAGACCTAAGTATGTCAACTGATAGCAAGTTCAATTCAACTATGTGCTTACTATTTTTTTATTTTTTTTTGCGTGACATAATTCTAATTAAACTAAGTAAACACTCAGAAAGGCCATTTTCTTTGTAATATGAACACATCCTTATCCAATTATGTTATGATATGTGTTTGAAATATAAAACAATTTTAGAAAATGTGTGTGAAACTCTTTAATAGGCACTATAGTACCTCAATAAAATATCGTGATAATACAGCTTACTGTCTTTGAAACAATTATGTAGTAATTACTTTTTCATCTGCTTTACATAAAACTTCTTTTGAACAACATAAGAAAGAAAATGATATTTAATTAACTTTATTTATGATGCTAACATTGTTCTATATGTCAGTTGCAGTTAAGTTGCTTTAAAGATGTAGAATTTGTAAAAATAACACTGCACATATGGATCTAGAAGAAATTGAAAACGGTGAGTAAAATGCCGGAAATCCTTGATAATATATAAAGACCTAAATTTAATAATGTGCCAGTAGTAATTACCAGTAGAAGCTGTAGAAATCTGTTGAAACCTTTTTTTAATATTCACTTAAATATTTTTCACCTCACAAGAAAGTCCAGTTTTACCTGATTTCTTCAAGATTATGTTGAACCCTTCAAAACCAGTGAAAATCCTATTTTTACAAGATAAATAAAGAATTGGAAATTTAAAAACTTGCAAATATGAATTCTAAAAAGAAAAAATTAAGCAAACAAGGCTGAAGATACTGTAGACATTATTTACTCAAACTACAAATCCCTATTTTGGGTCTATGCTGCTACCTAGAGTTACATTTGGTGGAGTCAAAATAGGAATTTATAGTTTTAGTAAATAATGTCTACAGAACCTCCAACCTTGTTTGCTTACTTTGTAATATGATCCCTATTTGCAGGTTTTAAATTCCCAATTTTAAAATGAGTTATTCAGTGCAGACACACTTTCCATTATCTCAAACATTTTTATTACAAAAACTGTTGTTTACAAACTTTTTCTGACGTGTTTCGTTTTGAATCCTGTTTCCTTTGTAACACCTTATGCTGCTTGCAAGTTTCCCATATTTATAATAGAACATTGCTTGTGAAAATTGGGGATGGGGAGGAGGTCTTGAATCCACCCTTAAGAGCTAATTTTGTCTTCTGGTCTAAAATGCATGAAGTGTAAGTACTTACAACTTTTCAATATAGAATATAACATAACTAAAGGTAGTGTTGCGTCAGCGAGGTCACGTGACTAGTATCACGCCACTTCTTTCTCGAACCTTCGTGAATTGTCAGGAGATAACTAGATTGGGGGGTAGTCTGGTATATGTAAGATGGTCACAACGTGACGGGACAGTGTGTGTAGGTAATGAGTAATTGAACTGCAGTCAGTGAGTGTGTAATTGAGTATTGT